ATATGTGATCTAACCCCTACCTACCTCTCAAACTTAACTGTTATCACTTTAGCTTGTTCTACTGTGTTGCAGACACACCAGCCTTCTAGATACTCCTAAAACACACCAAGCTTGTTTTCAATTATTATTTTTTTAATGTATTTCAAAAGTAGGTTTTTCACATCAAGGTGGATGTTCCTTTAGCTCACTCCATTAGAGCAACAGAGAAATGCTTGCTTAAGCCACCCAAAGAAGTGGATCTGGATGAGTACTTATTAATGTAATTTGGCCTTCGTAAACTCAAGTTAATACTTACAGTGCATGTAGCATTCTAACATCCAACTGGAAAACTAACTTGGGATCAGTTACAGAGGGCCTGGAACATCAGATTAAGGAGTTCATATTTTATCTAACAGGTCAGCGTCACACACTTAAGCACTGGGAAGAGCTAGTTTTTCACTTTTCAAATCCTGAGGTCACAAGGTTTGCAAAGAGTTGTGGAATAATGGAGAAAATGAGGGGTTACTTTCAGGGATATAAACACCTTTACGTACCTCTAGAATTTTGAACCGTGTGATTGTATTACCTATTTAAAACTATATTTAAGAAAAAGGAACTCTTACATGACAGAAAAACCAGAAACCAATATATTTATGCCTTTGGGGGAGAAGTTTACAGTACTTTAAATACTTTTTGAATGCCATAACTAAGACTTATATAGAAGAAATATAAAAACAGATAAAATATGTTCATATATGTAGAAGATATATAGACATACACAGAAAATATACATGCTCATAATGGTTCTCATCATGTAAGGGAGCTCCTATCAGAATTGAGCTCTGCCACAATGATACCACAACGTGCTAACTTTCAAGTAGTTTCCTCAAACACCCGAATAGCCATTGAGAGCTCGTACAAGTGAAGACTTCTCTAAAATCTAAAGGGCTGCAGGTGATAAAAAGGGCTGCAGGTGATAAAAAGTACAGGATAAGAGACAAAGTAAGAGAGCAAAGACAGCACAGTCTCATTCTCTCAAACTCATCTCCAGCGGCCAGTCTCACCACTTGCCAAGAGCTACATCAGTTAAGATTAATAATTAAATGACTTGGGGACAACAATAAGAGAAGAGGAATATGAACACTTATCATCTCCAAATTTGCTAGAGCCTCTACCTGGTTATCAAGGAGTGATGAGGAATAGGACTTCATAGTATAGTTTCCTTCTCTCAGATGAATAAAAGTCTTTCTGGTTTTTGTTCCTGACCTAACTTCTAGAGACACTACGCCAAGAAAGAATCATGAATTAGACCCTGTTGAACTAAGGAAACACACCACCTTGGGCAAATGCAAAATACTGTAAGACAGCAACAAAGAAAAGTGTGAGAAAGCAGAAACTCCAAACCCTCTAATGTATAGAATCCATCCTTTGATCAAGGTAAAATGCTGTGAGTTTGCTCATGGCCTACATCTAAAAAAAGACGGCCTCCTGAAACTCTTACCTTCATCCTGTTATCTGTCATGTCCAGGTTCATAACCTATGGCCATGACAAGAGAACATGGGAAACATTTCTCCTCTCCTTAATCACAGAAATAATGTGTTCTCCCTTGGAAAACATATCCTGATTCCCATTAACCTCTTCCATCAACAACCTCTTCCATTCCATGCCTTTCTTGAATCTATTGAGTTTCATCTTCATTCCCTTGAGTTTCAAATTCATGCAGAAATCAGTATACTTTACCCTGGAGTCATGAATGGGCACTTGGTAAGGTTGAAAACATTATTTTAAAATACTGCTTCTTAAACATTAATGCGCATAGTATGTATCTCATTAAAAAGCAGATTCTGATTCAGTAAGCCTAGGGCAGGGCCTGAGGGACAGCAGTTCTAACAGGCTTTTGCAAACTCTCTTGCTTCGCAGAAAACACTTGAAGTAGCAAGATTCTAAAAGGCAATGGCACCTATATACACAGTTTACCTACAAAGGCACAATCCCAATGCAATGCTAACTGTCCTTTCTTTTTGTAGTTTATTCCTTCTTCTCTGATTTATACTAGATCTATTTTCTTATCCTCTCAACACCTACAATTTATCTTCAATTCCTCTTTCCCTTTATTCAGTTGGCATCTCTAAATTTCCTTCCTCTCCTTTTATTTTTCCATACCACCAACACAATACCTAAAATGTAAAAGTAGCTGATAAAATATGTTCTTACAAGGTGTCCAAGTCTGTTTTTATTCTTATGTCCTTTAAATAGATTCTAATTCAGCACACATATCCAATAATTTAAGAATTGTTGCAAGCATCAACATGAGGAATGAAAAAAAAAAGGATGTAAGTATAGAAATTGGGCCTAATCTGTATTTATCACAAGGACCCTATGCAAAGTAAGGCAAAAGGAATACTAACTAAAAATCATAACAACAAATTTGTATGTAATGAAAAGATTTTAAAGCTTTATTTAAGGATCCACCTATAAATAAAATTCCAGGACATCAAACAAATATATTATTCTTTGGGCACTGTCACCTCGTTAGCTTTAAACTATATTTTTAAATGAGAGGGGAAAAATGCAAAATATTTAGAACTACATGTCTAAAAATTCTAGAATATCCAAATGTTTCTTGTGTTAAGGCCAGACCTTATCATAAAGATCTAATTTAACAGGTGTACCATAATGTCCAACCCTAAAAATAATTAAGCCATCTATTCACCTATAATCAAGTTAAATTTTCATCCTTGCTTTCACCTTGAGACACATTAACAATAACTTACACACTTTTTAAGGAAAAATAAAATCCAGAGATGACGCAAACTGTGAGGAAGAAACTCATGTTGTGAATAAAGGATCACCTGACATGTTCTATTTCCCTTAAGAAAAGAGATTCAAATTTAACCGTCTTAAAGTTGATGCCCCCCGCATACTGCCAAGTTAAGAAGTACTTGTAATCAGGATTTTCCTCATGTATTCCCTAGTTTAGTTAGTAGTACACCCAGTCCTCCAAGCCAGAAACGGGTATCAACCTAGACCTACCCTCTTCCTCATCCCCACCCTTTCCAGACCCCTACTGAAATGACCACCAAGTACTATCCATTTTGTGTCCTAAGTGTCCCTCTGCTCTATTCTCTCCATTTCCTCTGCCACTGCCTTAGTCTAAGCCTTTTCTCTCACCTTATCTATTACAATAGCTACCATACCATCCCTGCCTCCAGTTACCTTTTCCACTGATCCTTACTCCACACTGTCATCCAAGTGATTTTCCAAAATATAAACCTAATGTCTCTTCTGCTCAAAACCTTTTCCTATCTCTCCATCACCCACAGAATAAAGTCCATGCCATGTATAACAGCACTTTACTTTTTATTATTTGAATCCTGCCTGCCTCTAAAACATCATAGCCCACTGCACTCCTCCCATCCTGCACTTTAAGCCCCATCATTATCCAACTACAATGCTTGAACTTCCAGCATGCCACATGCCTCCATGCTTTTACACAGGCTGTTGCTTCAGTCTAGAATATCCTTCATTTCTTCCCCTTTAGCTTCCTGGCCAATTACTATGAATCTTTCAAAACTCAACTCAGCTCCAAGAAAGCCATCCCACACCCTACCCTACCCTTAAAGAGTTGATTATTCCCTTGTCTGCCAACTTTGTAAGTAATGATGACATTTTATTGGGCATTTACTATGTGCCTGACATTGTTCCAAGTATTTTACATGTATTAACTCATTTAATCTTCACAATAACCCTTCCTATGAATTGGTACCATTATTACCTTTGTCGATATGAAAACTATCTCAGAGGAGTAAATAACCTGTCCCCAAGGATATCCAACTGTTAAGTGATAGAGACAGATAAAGATCCCTACATCATATTTATATTATTGCACCTATCACAGAGAATTTATTTACATGACTGTCATCACCCTGGACTGTGAACTCCTTGAGGGTGGGGATTATGTCATATTCAACTCTAAAGCCACAGAGCCTACTATAAAGTAGGTAATCAGTACACGCATTTCTTGAATTGCACATAAAGCAACATTCCTAACAAGTTCAAGAGAAAAGCATTCGGAAACTAGTTTCCAAATAAATATTCAAATATGCTTTAAGAGTTCTAGAGTAGAGGAAGCTATTTTTCCGTTTAATAAAAAGGATGTTAAAAAGAGAGATTAACACAGACATGAGATTACAGTCCATGTGGACAAGGAAATGGACTTACTTTTGCAGTAATACTGCTTAATCACTGCAATAAATCAAAACCCAAAGTACCATTTGCTTAAGATTAACTTTTTTCCTCTGACTAAATAAGAATTCTTCTTGCTTATCATTCAGGGCAGTGAAAAGAAAGCCCTAAATTTACTTTGCTCAAGTGGAAAGAAGCAAATCATAGACCAGCACTACTAATTGCTTCCTTAAGTCTGGCCAAGAAATGTACCCCATTAGGCAATTAAAATAAAACACAGTTGCCTGACTAAGCACAGAACAAAAGAATTTCTAAGGTTGTATGGACTGGCACTCTATTATGCAAATAATGAAAAGTTATTTTAAGCAAAAAAAATAAAGATCAAGAACAAATTAAAACAGATTATCACCACCCCACAAGAACAGATTTCCGTATTAAAACTCTACTGAAACATAGACATATGTTACATCAAAACATATGCATATATGTTTACAATATTTCAATAGCCATTCTTCATGCCTCCTTAAAGTTATAAAAATCAAAGTTATTCTAAGACTAATGATGAAAGACCTCAAGACCAAATCTACTGTACTTAGTGTGCTCTCATAGTTACAGTCCTCTGAGCCATACTGAAGTGCAGTAATTAAAACCCACAGGGTCGGTACCAGCAGCAACAGTGCACACCACATTACTTGTTAGAGTAATCTGCACCCCGCCCAGCTTCTACACACTTGTGCACTACAGAAAGGTAAATCTGCTGTCAGAAGCAGCAGAGTTTAGGCCACAGTGAGTTTAGGCCACAGCACAGCAAACTCTACACCCAGGCACTTCTTACCATTTCTTGGTACATTCAACCATCAGCTCCTGGTAGGAGGCCACAAACTGGAACTTGGATGCGTGTTTTCCCACACGCTGTAGTCTCTTCCAAACTGAAGCCATGATGATCAGTCAAAACAGTGGAGCAGTTCTGGTTTAGCAACACAGCAGCTTTAACAAAGCAGAGGGTCCAAAGCAAAGGAGCTTTGCATGTATGTCTGTACTTTAAAAAACTCAACTACAACTTGAAATGATGTTTGGGGTCCATAAGTCTTCTCCCTGTTTCACAGGGTAAATCACATCTTAGATGACTGGCCCAGTCAAGAACAGTATGACACACATCACAGGATGAGTGAGAGGAGGTTCCCTCATGGAGACATCACCATTCCACCTCGTGGGTTATATGATGTGTATTCTGGAGGACTGAAAAGCAAAACAAAGAGAAAAAATACGAGGAGAGAAGCATGAGAAGTGACTAACCACCCATGTTAGATAACACTGCAACAGACAAGCCCAGTTCTCCGCATGTTTTTCAAACAATGAAACAAAACACCAACCTCAAAAGCCAGTAACATCAAGGATGCAAGACACCAAGGAAGAAATTACAATTCACACCAAAGACGTGGAGCAACACATCAGGTAATCAGCAGCAACAACGATCGAGAGGCGAAAGTCGGGGCCCTACCTCCCTCTCCTAGCATCACAGAAGGGCGAGCAGAGCGGGAAAGTCTAGGGATGCTGTTTAATGTCCACCGCCAGTCAGAGAAAGAAGTGGAGTATTTTAAAATAAACTTTGTTTTTCAGCCGATAGTGAATAGCTCTGAGTCCTAGAATATGTGCGTGAAACAAATTAAGGAGCGGGGAAGAACGCTGCTGTTGAGTCGGAGGGGGAAATGGATGGGGAAAAAGGAGTGGAGGGAAATCTCAAGGCAGAGAGAGGGCAGTGTCCCGGCTCCAGGCCACTTGGGCTCTCCTCCACCTTTGCTGCCAACCGGAGGGAAATGGAAACTCCTGCCTGGGCGTGAAGCAATGACCAGCGAGGCAAGTGCACGGTGCGGGGTGCAGTGCCTCCCTCCCCCATCCTCAGGGAATAGTCCGCCGAAGCCTCCTCTCCTCCCGCACAGAGCCCAGACCCCTGCCCCCCAGCTGAGGCAGGCGGTGGCTCGCCAGCGGTCCCTGTCACCCAGGCGATGCCAGAAGACCCCAGCCCGGTCCCAGAGCCCCGGTCCCACCGCACGTCCACTCCCGCCCCCTCCTCACACCTCTAATCCCGCTGTCGGGCTGAGTCTGGCCCGGTTCCCTCCTCAGCGCCGCTCCTCCGTCGCCGCCGCAGCAGCAGTCGCCGCCGCCGCCACCGAGTCCTCCATCCCCGCCGGAGCCACATGGAACAGCCGAGCCAGCCGCGGCGCTCCCGGGAGCCGGGGTCTGCAGCCCCTCAGGCGGACGGCGCGCCTCACGCCCGCCCCCTCCCGGACGGAGTCGCCCCGCGACCGTCCCCCACCCTACAAAACCCTGCCAGAGCCGCCGCTCAGCGCCCAGCACCCCCTCCCCCGCCTTTCTCCTCCGCCACCACCATCATTACCTCCCCCGCCGTACCTCTCACACTAACCCTACCCACGGCCGCTCAACCTCCGTCCGCCCCGCCGCCATTGGCCGGGCCCCGCGCTTTCCCCGCCCACCTCGGCGGCAGGGCCTTTAAGGGGCGGGGACGCCTCATTGGCCGACCCGGGTGCCCATCACAGGGCTCCACGCCCCCCTCCCCCGCAAGTTCTGGAGGTGTTTTTTCCCCCAGCCGGAACGCGGTGTACAGTATACCCTTCTTTAAAAAAAAAAAAAAAAAAAAAAAAAACACTGGAACCCTCTAAGGACAATCCCGCCCATTCCTCTGATTGGCTTCGAGAGGGAAGCGATAGGTGGGAGGAGTAAGGAGTGTTTATAGTGATCTGAAAGGTGGTTGCTGAAGGTGGATGTCGGTCAAAGGCGTGCCGGGTGCTGGGCGGGGTTTCTGTCTGGAGTCTGAGAGCAGAGCCCGCGACTGGCTTCGCTGCAGCTGTGGGCTGTGCGGCTACTGGGGTTTTCTCTCCTTTTCTCTCCTGTCCCCACCCTAGGAGCTGGGTGTGCCCTCTCCGCCACTAGCCGCTAGGGTGTTTGCGAGCACAGTCTTGGTTTCACCTCCTGGGGTTTTTCCTCTGACAAACTGTGAAGTAATGACCCGGCCAGCCCCCGCCTAACATTTAGTCAACTGGTCCTCAGTGAACCAGATTCAGTAAGCTGAGCTAGGCACAAAATGTTCACGGTGCAATTTCTTCTTGTTCTGATTCTTAAACAGTTCTATGAATCTTATTCTTCTGGTAGGAATTGTAGATGAACTTGGGAGTGGTTGGTATGTAAGAAGGGTAGTTAGAGGCAAAGGAGAGGATGAAATAACCTAAGGAGAGTGTGAGGGCACGGGCACTTAACCTTGTTAAAAGAACCAAGGACCCTTTTGAGAACGATAATGAAAGGCATAGATACTTTCCCAAGGAGAAATATGTCCTATCATAAGACACAAAAGTTCGCTTTCAGTTTTAGGTGGTTCACAGACCTCTGGCGCAGAGAAAGAGGACTAAGAATGAAATTGGGGGGTGGGGGGGAGGGAGGGCGAGGAATCTCAACATTTGAGGAAGAAGCAAAGTGGGAAAGAGACTGAGGAGGGAATGGTCAGAGAAGTAGGAGCACCCTACAAGCCATGGGCAAATTGAAAAAAGAAGGAAGCTAACATATGAAAAGAAAACAAGCAAGATGAATCCTGGAAACAATTAAGGCTCATTCTTAATCTTACTAAGGACAGAGAGCAGGGTGCATGGACAAAATAGCTTGAAAGGTGTTAGGGTCTAGGGAAGGATTCTTTGAAGGACAGGAAGAAGGGCAGTGACCGTGAGAGTCGAGCTCATCTGTAGACATAGGGAGGCAAGAGAAAGGAGAGAGAGATTGAAGAATCAGGATAGATGGGAAGACACAGAAGGCTTGAATCCAGTATCGAATTCTATTTCCATTTTCAATAAAGAAAGTGATATAATACAAGAACACAATGTACATTTAACAGAAAAGGGCATAGATATCACTTATTTTGCTATACTCTCAATTTTAAAATATTAAAGATAACCATAATAATTATATTGATTCTTATTTTGTGTACATCTTGCAGTTCTCTGGTGTCCTTCCTGAGTGGTTTACTAAGTCACTATAACCTACAACTATTATTATGATCATAATTGGCTTTAAGTGTATGGGTTTTGTTGTGTTCTTTTTGTTTGTTTTTTTTTTTTTTGCGGTACGTGGGCCCCTCACTGTTGTGGCCTCTCCCGTTGCAGAGCACAGGCTCCGGACGTGCAGGCTCAGCGGCCATGGCTCACAGGCCCAGCCGCTCCACGGCATGTGGGATCTTCCCGGACCGGGGCACGAACCCGCGTCCCATGCATCGGCAGGCGGACTCTCAACCACTGCGCCACCAGGGAAGCCCATGGGTTTTTTTAAATGGCTAATTTATAGAAATGGTCATAAACTATTTTAATCTATGTTGCCCTTCAGGAACAACCCACATGATAATCAGGAGGGTTTTGCATCCTATTTAATATTATTGTTCTTCAAACTTTCTCATGTGGTTATCCTGGCTTCTTTTAATACTCTTTCCCTTCCTAAAAAGAAGAAGAAGGAGAAGGAGGAGTGTGTAGGACCCTAGGGAATCTTTCTCAAGTTGTGGAAAATTTCGAGAACAACAGTTTCTTATAAGACAGATTTTCTTTTGAGGGGAAGTATTTCTCTTGGATGTAAACTCTTCTTTTTCATCCTAGCTGCAAAGGTAGCCAGGAAGAGACCAAGTTTAGAAATGAAGGAATTAAAAGCAGACCTTGACATTGTTGCCAAGCTCAAGTTCACAGGCTCCTGGAGGCCCCACAGAGCAGCTACTTCTTCCCTTATAATTTTTTTTCTTTAATAACCTGTCTGCTAACTAAATTTATTGGAGAATCTTAAATATATAATACTTTAAGATCTTTTTATCCACTTATTCGATACTGAATACCAACTGAGTATTGATCACATTAAATGCTATTAACAGTACATAAAAGGTATAGTCCCTGTTCGCAAACAGTTTTCAGAAACAGATGTTCAGCATGCATGCAAGAAAGTAAAACAAATTACTTCACCTCTCTGAGTCCCAGCTTCTTATTCTGTCAAACAAATAATCATGCTTACCTTTCTGGGATGTTGAGGAGATGGAAGATATGTACGTAAAGTGCCTGACACATAGTAAACAGTCAATAAATGGTAATTAATAATGTATACCATTGTGTTTGGTAGCAAACAGAGTCAAAAATAATAAGTAATAAACAGTAAAAAAAAAAATAGTCCTTCAAGAATAACATGGGCAATACTTAGTTGCTACCAAACATCACTACCTCAAGGAATAATGAATCTCAAAAGAAACTGCTTTTAACATTATTCATCTCCCATTAACTCAGTGATTACCAAGAGTGGAACACCAATAACTTACGTAGACTCATAATTTTATAATAATTACTAAGAATTCATTTATCCCCAATTCCCATGACCACCTTCCATGCCATATATAATCTGAGATCTTTTGACATTCTAGAAGATAACTTTTTCTTAAGGTTCCCATTTCCCCTACCTACCAGTAAGTACATCCCACTGACCCTCCCCCTTCCAAAGGGGAATTTCCCACTGTGCTTCTGCCCCTTTCTAACCTCCTGTTTACTCAGGTCTTGATTTATTATCTCCTTCCATCCCAGGCTTAATCTGCATGTAATAGACCTGTAGATGCAAGTTACTTTAATTGTCCTGTCCATTTTCCCCAGGTGTTGACTGCAAAATTTTATAGATATTTTACTTAACAGAAGATTCAACATTTAAAATAATTTCTATTTTGCCTTTAGGTATCATCAAGCTTACAGTGAAGATAGAATACAAAAAGTAAAAAAAAAAAAAGGAAAATGCCACCCTAAAACTTCAAATCTTCTCTGCCATGACAGTTTTGAAATGGTAGAAATTATTTTCAGTGAAGCAGCTTTGCCAGTCACTGTTTCAGAAACCCCCCAAATAGAGATTCTAGTCTATGAAGTGCACCCACAGGCTTGAATTATTATCATTCCCGATGATAAAATTCTTATCCCTGGATTTTACAGTTTTTGCAGTAAAAATTGTCAGAGGTATTATTGCAGCAACTTATCTGTGCCTTAGTCATAGTAATAAGATTTACTTGCAACAATAGCACTGCAGATTTTTGCATTGTGTTTTCCAGTTACCATAGCAGCTATACAATACACAACAATATTACTGCAATTTTTAACTGCTAATGAAATTATTTCTTTTAAACCCATAGCAAACAAACTTATTCTGACAATCCTATATAGCAATTTTTATATCCTTAGAAAAACTCACTGGAACAGGCTAATACTTCTGAAATACTAACTGAGGTTTTTGTAGTAGTTGTCTTTCTAGGTATTTCTTTTTATCCTATGGCCTTTCTCCTCCTATACCCCACCCAAAGACACCCTCAGCATCGTACCCACCCTCAAGTAGGCTGGTTTTCGCTCATTGTTTCAGGAAAGCAGTATAACAGAATGCAGAGAAACAGGGAATTTTTCCTTGTTTTTGAGTTTCAGAACCCTAGTCCTTTAGGGTGTAATGAAACGGATCCAGTTAGAGACCTGTACTGTTCAATACGATAACCTCTAGCCATATGTGACTACTGAACACTTGAAATGTGGCTAGTTCACATTGAGATGTGTTGTCAGTATAAAATATACACAAATTTCAAAGACTATATAAAAATGAAGGGAATATATCTTATTTAAAAGTTTTATATTGATTGCCTGTTGAAATGATAATATTTTAAATGTACTGAATCAAAAAAGACATTAAAAATTAATTTTAACTGTTACTTTACTCTTTTCATGTGGCTACTGGAAAAATTTTAATTACACATGTGGCTTGCCTTATTTTCCTGTTGGACAGTGCTGGTATAGACAATAGTAAAACTTCCTTTCACAGAGATAAGAAATGGATTTCCTGGACTGGAAGGGGAAGAAGAAGTTGGGTGGAAAGTAATGAGAGGCCAGACGCTGATGGGTCCCAGAGAACAGGACTCACTGCCGTATTCTCACTCTATTCTGGCAGAAGCCTTGGAGAAAGGCAACTGAAATGGCAGGATCTATCTATGGGATCTGAAAGCCGAGAGAGATAATTTCCATTCATTTTTCTTTGTTAGAGCCCCAGAGAGGTGGCAAGACCCTAAAGATAAGAAAAACCCGGGCCGTGTATCTAGTCCACCCAAGACCAGTTCAATAGAAGTTTCTGTGATAAAGGAAATGTTCTATATTTGGCTGTGCAATACAGTAGCCTCTAGCTCCTGGGGCTATTAAGCACTTGAAATGTGGCTAGCATAACTGAGGAACTGGAGTTTTAATATTATTTAGTTTTAA